GAAACGTATGCAAAATTAATTTTAAACGATTTAGAGCATTTTTTTTTTTTGCGCGCGCGCTGACGCGCGGACGTACGCATGCGCGCGCGTTTTTTGACCTGAAATTGACCGGACGGATATTGACCTTAATCATGATAAATATGAATGAGAAATGCCTTTCCGTTATAAAGATATGATCATGAGTTGAAAGTACAAAAAAAAACACAAAATGGCGCCTGGATGACGTCATGAAGACTTGATGATATTGAAAAGGTTACTGTCACGTCTCATGACAATGACCTATGACTGTGCCAAAATTGAACGAAATTGATCAAACTGATCTTGAGTTATCCTGTGAACAAAAAAGTGGGAACAATAAATAAAAATAAAGAATAATAATAAATAAATAAAGAAAGAAAATTCTGACGAAAACAATAGGTGATCTGTTTTCAACAGACCACCTAATAAATAATAAATAAATAAATAAATAAATAAATAAAGAAAGAAAATTCTGACGAAAACAATAGGTGATCTGTCGTTGACAGACCACCTAATTATATACAGTGCGTCCCAGAAAAAACGAAACCGAGAAGTATCGATGTTTTATCATAACTTAATCACAACCATAATTGATGAATGATACATATTTGGAAAGCTTAGAGTCTCCTCTTTCAGTTGTTGCTACTCAGGTGATGCATATTTCACGCATGAGTGATTAAAAGCAATTTGAAGGAGGGAAACCAAAAAGACATTTGGCGGGCGGTATCTGAATTTCGAAGAAAAATTCACATTTCTAGAAAGTTAAGTTTCTGCCCTTTCATATGACACCTCAACCAGGAAAAATGAGCTAGGAATAACAAAGTTCTGTTTGTTTAAAGTAGCCCTTACATTTTCATAATTTTAACAAACGAATTTGTTTTCACTGGGTGCCTGCCGTAGCAAAAAGCAGATTTGACAAAAGACTTAACTCCGTTTCGTTGACAAATCAGCCATGCATGAAGACTCTCGTCTACGGTTGATTGTCAACGAAACGGAGTTAAGTCTTTTGTTAATTTCGTTTATTGATACGGCAGGCAGCCAGTGAAAACGAATTCGTTTAATAAAATTATGGAAATGCAAGCACTACTTTAAACAAACAGAACTTTGTCATTCCTCGCTCATTTTTCCTGATTGAGGTGTCATATGAAAGGGCAGAAACTCAACTTTCTAGAAATGTAAGTTTTTCTTCGAAATTCAGATACCGCCCGCCAAATGTCTTTTGGGTTTCCTTCCTTCAAATTGCTTTTAATCACTCATGCGTGAAATATGCATCATCTGAGTAGCATCAACTGAAAGAGGAGACTCTAAGCTTTCCAAATATGTATCATTCATTAATTATAGTTGTGATTAAGTTATGATAGAACATCGATACTTCTCGGTTTCGTTTTTTCTGGGACGCACTGTATATTGTTACGTGCATCATTGTCCTTAAATTCTTTGACATGTGATAGCGTATTTACAAACTACTAACTAGCTAAACGTAAGATATAGCGCTAATCTTTAGGTATGGTAATTCTACGAATTACATTTTCATGTTCAAGAATGAGATTAAATGATACTTGCAAACTAATTTTATTTCGTTTCGTATTTGAATACACTTATATTAAAAAACTATTTAAAGTATTTTAAGGCATAGAAACAAAAGAAATACATCGAATATTCTCGAGCATTAGTTACACACTTTCATCTGTACACATATCAGTACTACTTTCCTATGAACCATGATATATATTTCGAAAATATTTTCTTAAAGGTACTATGTCCCTTTAGCAGCCAACCTCAAATTCTGTATAACTTTGCATAAATTATGAATATGTCATGTAGAACTAGTCTATGTCCTATCGGTGAAATTTAACCGTTAGCAGTGTCCAAATATTCAAAATATGCAAGGAAACCCGTTTACTTGCTAGACTTCACTGTCAGACACTATTGAGTGACTGACTGGTTTTTTCTTCTTTGGTAATAACATACATAAAATGAGCTGTAAAGGGTACATGAGCATTTGTCTACATCAATAACCCACTTCTTGTGATGGCCAAAATTAAACTGATTGACTCCTTCTGAACCTTCTGAAATTGTAGTCAGCAGGGCGGTGTTCCGCATGTCGCTAACTTGTATGGCAGGTAATGCATGCTAGAGTGTGTTTCTGAAATTATCAACTGATGTAGCTATTACGGACTGCTGGTCGAGGGCATTCCATGCTCGTCCAGTTCTTGGAAAAAAGGAGTATTTGTATACGTCCTTTCTGGCAAAGGGGATTTCTATTGAGTGTTGGTGGTTTCTTCTTAACCTTGACCCTGTTGATACTTGTATGTAGTCCTCTTGCTTTAGGCCCACCTTTCCCTTGTAGATTTTGTACAGCATAACCAAACGACTCTTTTCCCTCCTGCGTTCGAGTGATTCCCATTCAAGGCAGGTCTGCATTTGTGTGACACTGCTGTCCCTTTGGTAGTTCCCTGTTACGAAGCGTGCTGCCCTCCTTTGAACTGCATCCAGTTTATTAATCTGCCCTATCCTGTATGGGTCCCAGGCACAGCTTGCGTATTCTAACACTGGTCTCACTAGGGTCTTGTATGCGAGGGCTTTCACATTCCCTGGGCAAAACCATAGATTTCTCCTGAGGAATCCTAACGTGCGGTTGGCTTTCATGGCTGTGTTGTCAACATGGTTCGCCCATGTCAGTTTACTGTCTATTTCTACTCCCAGGTAAGGATGAGAATTTGTCTGTTGTAAGTATTGTCCACAGAAGATATAATCCCTTGTCAGAGGTTTTTTCTTGTTCGAGATGATCATCACTGAACACTTGGAAGCGTTGAACTTCATGTTCCACCTATCTTGCCACGACTCCAGAGATGTAAGATCTGCCTGTAAGGAGTCTGTGTGCCTCTCGTTCTCTACTTCCTTGTATACCAAACAGTCATCTGCGAATAGTCTGGTCTGGCTTTTCAGCAGGTCTGGGAGGTCATTGATATACATCAGGAACAGTAACGGCCCGAGCACTGTCCCCTGGGGCACCCCGGATAGAACTTTGCTTGTTGATGACATACTACCTTCACAAGTCACTCTCTGGGTTCGGAATGTCAAGAAATTCCTAAGCCACCGATGTGTATGGTGTCTAATCCCGTAGTAGTGAAGCTTTTCCAGTAGTCGTTCATGTGGAACCTTGTCGAACGCTTTAGCAAAGTCCAAGATGGCCATGTGTACCGAGTTACCCCGGTCAAGTATTCTAGCAACATCATCGATCGTTGAGATAAGTTGAGTTTCGGTGGATCGCTTCGCTCTAAATCCATGTTGTGTATCCACTAGCACATCGTTTTCTTCCAGATGGTCCATGATATGTGAGTGAATTATATGTTCCAGAATTTTACTCACGACACAAGTCAACGACACAGGTCGATAGTTTTCTGGAGCGGCTTTATCTCCTTTCTTGAAGATAGCACAGATATTAGCCATCTTCCATTGATGTGGCAAGATCCCATTGTCCATAGAATCCTGGAACAAGTCTGTTAACAATGGTGCCAGTTTTGATGCAAACATCTTCAAGAACCAGGGAGGTATTTGGTCAGGTCCTGGTGCTTTGTTTGGAGATAGGTCCTGCAACTGCTTGAGAACTCCACCTTCATGGATCACTACATCGGGAATACTCTGGATGTTACTAGTTCCCAACTCTTTGCGCAGCATAAAACGTATGACCATTCGGAACAATAGTCTGAAAATCAAGACTATTACTTATTGGCTCTATAGCTCCTAAGTCGATTTGACAACCAATAGTCGTTAGTTTCCCACTTGAAGACATTTTCAAGCCCCACCTTTTTTAGGGAAGTTCTAAATAAATATTATCTTTCAAATGCCGTTGGAATTTAACCTTTTCATTTGTTTGGCCTGCAAATTGGACATAGTACCTTTAACATGTAGTTTGTTTAAATTTTTTTGTTCCAGGCAATCTTCTTCCACATAATGTACATTAACATTATTTTGATCAGTTCCTTGAAATCCATTTCGAATACTTACTCGAAATAGATTTTGTTAAATAAATTATTAAATCATTATTGAGTAGTATTTTGTGAACCCTTTGTTCATCTGTTGACATTGAACAAATGTGTAGAAAAAAAGTATTATTATCAGGAAATAAATTAAAATGCATGAATGATTGAATTGAAGAAAAAAACAGACTTTATAACACATTCTTTAGGCACGCAGCAAAAAATCAGTCTAAATATAGTGTAAACAGTTTACAAAAGCATGTCCTTTTATTTCAGTTTCGGATTTTGGAGGGGATTTCGTTGGCAAAGCGTATTTAAAGCGGCGGTATCAGAACTTGGCGTCATGGGGTGGGTGGGGTGCAAAACTTCCGGGCCGAACGTGATTCCAACAAAAATCACTTTTCAATGTACTATTTTGGTGTGCACAATGAAGGCCTTTGTTTGGTGACATTTAACTGCCATTTATACCAGAATTATCGCGAATTTAGTGGCATTTTTTTGCGGAAATATCCTCCAAAATTGGATTACAAATTTCATGAAATTTTCCCCAAAAAATGACTTTTGACGAATTCATTTCGTGAAATCAGTTTACATCTCTCTTTTTTTAATTCAACTGTACCAGGCGTTCGTAAGGGCTACAGAAATATCCGTTCACCAGCCATTGAATTACGTACATCATTACATGCATATCAACTGGTTAGCTGGGTGAAATTCTGCTAGATGGGAAAGATGGGAATTTATTCTGCAACCCATGATGTAACAAATCTATCCGAAAACTTTCGCGAAAGTTTTCAATAATTATTAATGCCGTTTTGGGGAACATATTCGCGAGAAAAACAAAATCGCAAAAATGTACAATTTTCGCGAAATTTTGAAAATGTCTTCAAGGGTCCCCCCAAAAATGAGGTATGGGGGCAGGGGCGGCGATCCCGGGAGACGGGGGACGGGGGACCGTCTCCCGGGATCGCCGCCCCTGCCCCCATACCTTTGGGCCATGAAGTCAGGTTAAAAGATTACTTGTTTCTGATTCCCCAAAAAGCTATACAATCACATAATTATCCACATTAAAAGTTTAGATTCGCCCTCTTGTAATTACGATGTCGTTGGTAAAGAATGACATTGACTTTCTCTGCCACGTTCTTACAACCTTTCACAGCGAACGCTTTCGAACCTGGCGGCCCAAAAAACTCGAGCTGTGCCAGGATTTCCGTTTCTTGCTTATTGTAAGAATGCTGGCCACTCTTTAAGAACTCTGCCCTGATGCACTGCCTTATATGATTAGTTTCAAGCGGAAGGAAGGGAACAAAGTGGCTGATGAGGTGAGAATTGATGATCTTGGCATTGTACAGACCGGTATCTACAGTATATGGATAATAAAACATTGAATTTTAGGGCTAAATGACATCTGGAGACTGGAGGTACATGAAATGGACTGGGTAAAATTTAGATCACTGGGCTAAAGGAAATATACACGTATGATGGATAAAATTTCACATGATATTGGTTAAATGAAAATATCCATTAGGCTCGTACAGATTATTATTAATATTTTTTAAATATATATTTTAAACATGTAAATGAATTGCAACTGTGAGCAAGCTTTGTATTTAAATGCCGCGTAGCTTGGCAAACACTGGTTAACGCCATCTACGTCTTCTTTTGGACAACTGCACGTAAACGAATGGACTTGATTAACGGTAGTCAGCGACTTAATCTCTACATGGTCAGCGCACGCTAGCGTTCGTGAAACAGATCGAAGTTCTCCCCGCGCTTCGGTTTCGCGTATGTAACACGCACGTGATTGCTGCGGTCGCGTCGTCCGTCGTCGTATTAGCGAGCTTTCGATTTAGGCACCCGACGTCGGCTACTACGAGGTACTGGAGCGTGGAGACGTTCCGCCGCTCAAGTCCGTTCCCTTCGCGGCAGTGCTTACGATTTTCCACGACGGTGCTTTCGTCGGCCAAGTGACCAATTTTTGAGATCGGGTAATTAAATCAGGTAATAAATGTGCGCGAAAATCTGTTACGAAGAATAACATGAGGATGACAGAAATAGAAAGTTAAAATGATAAAACAAAAAATAACATAAGAAAAGGTGAGGAAGAATAAAGAAAGGATAAGAGAGGAAATAATAAAAACAAAGAATAACATAAGAGAAGGTGATAGAAAGGAAGAAACAAAGTATAACATTATATTATAACTTAAAAAAAGGTGCTAGAATGATTAAAACACAAAGAATAACATTAGAGAAGGTGATAGAAGGAAGAAACAACTGAAGAATAACAAAAGGAAAGACAGAAAGAGAAAGTGATAGAATGGTAAAACAAAGAATAACATAAGAGAAGGTGACAGAAGGAAAAAACAAAGAATAACATAAGGAAAGACAGAAAGAGGAAGTGATAGAATGATAAACACAAAGAATAACATAAGAGAAGGTGATAGAAGGAAGAAACAAAGAATAACATAAGGAAGACAGACAGTAATAGAATGATAAAACAAAGAATAACATAAGAGAAGGTGATAGAAGAAAGAAACAAAGAATAACATAGGGAAAGACAGAAAGAGGAAGAGAAAGAAAGACAAAAACAAAGAATAACATAAGAAAAGGTGATAGAAAAAGAAACAAAAGATAGCAAGACGAAATAATAGAATAATATAAAACAAAGAATAACATAAAAGAAGGTGATGAAACTACACTCACGTTGACGTTTTCACGGCGACGGGGATTCACGGATATTGCCCCCGACTCCCGTCGCGTGATTTGGAGTGGGAACGTGGGCCCAGAAGCTCGAGCATGCGCAGGGGATATATATGACGTCACGCGTAGTAACCGACGTCGGGTGCCTAAAATCGAAAGCGGGCTGGCCCCGAGTCAGGCCACGGGAAAGACACGTAGTCTCGTCATGCTACATTACCTTTAAGATACGGAAATGTAAAGCGTGTTACGCTTAACGCCATCATAACAAAAACGCTACGGTTTGCCGCATCATATCTGAATTATATCCGTTTGTATATATTTGTTATTCTTCAATCATCTGTCGTCCTCCTATACACACATCCCACATAGATCGCACGACCCCCGAAAATACACCCTTGGCCTTGCGGGGTGAGAACGAAAGGCAATAACTGTCTCCGGTTTGGCGTTGAGGGTGTGTTATTTTCTCAGCTGATTGGGCGCGCGACATGGAAACAGTCCAGTAAGTGGTAAGTGTACTACATATCTGAACGAGGCCTAAACAGGAAAGGCAGATCTAGGACTCTGTCGGAATGAGAGGGGGGGGGTTTAAGATCGAGAAATTCCACGATCGGTGGGTATCACCAGGCGCGGATCCAGGATTTCTTAGGGGAGGGGGCCCAACTTTTTTTGTTTTGCTCCTGAAAATTTGAAAATCACGCCGGCCGAAAAGTCGCTCAGTGGGGGGGGGGGGGGGGGGGGGGGGGGAGGGAAGTGAGCCCTGGATCCGCCACTGGGTATCACAGAGTGCGTGTTTCAAAAGCCCATGTGAGCGGGGGACGGGGCAGTTAGAATATGTTACTGTACACACGCATGGCAAACATGTTTTCCAAAACCCCCTTTTAGTTTTAGCCATTAGTCGAAATCACACACTTTTCCGATTTTTACTCGAAAATTTTACCCCCTAAACAAATTTAGCCCTCTAGAAAATTTTCCCTAAACAAGGTCTACCTCAAATGAACCTCTATAGTCTAAAATGTGTACCCTTAACACGTTATAACAAACTCGGCAATCATACCCCCCTTTTTTGTCCTGTTTTTATAGGCCGAAGTCTCGAATAACAACAATAATTGAGTTGATTTCACGAATGTCTTTGCATTCGTGCTGTAATGATATTACAGAAAATTGAAAATTGTCTTATTATTCTTAGATGTGTTATGCTAGAATTCGTTAATTGAAAAGGATTGCAGTACATTTGCCATGAAAATTGTTATTTCACAATTCACATTTTCAAAAGATAATGCAGATGAATATATGCAGATAATTACACTTTATTAATATTTGTCTGGTAAACTGGGTAAAAGAACAATGAATGAAATTATATACTAAATTCGCTATCGTACAACTTTTAGGGCTTTCTATTTTCGCGTATAGGGTTCCAATAAATTCCCTTGTTTTAATGAAATACAATTCACTAACCTGCTTTGGAAAGGACGTCCTTTCTGATGATTTCCTCCATTTCTTCTAAGGTGATAGCCTCCCTGGCTCTTCCCTTGTCATACTGATCTAGAACATAATCGTTGATGGCCGTCGCAGCTAGGTTGCTGTGTTGAAGGTAAATGAGCTAGAGTTTAGGACAATGTATGTTGAAAATGATTATAGTAATAATGATAAAATAATGATAATAATGATAATGACAGTAATAATAATAACAATAATTACTATGATAATGGTGATGATAATAATAATAATATTAATAATAATAATTACAATAATAAGAATGATGATAGAAATAATAATAATAATAATAATGATAATAATAGTAATGTCAAAAATAATAATAACGATGATGATGATGATAATAATGATAGCCTACTAGTGAAAAAAATAATAATGGTAATTATGATTACAATAATAATAAAATTGATACTAATAGTTATAACAAAATATAGTGTGCGGTGGCCTTACACTGGGTGTACGACCGGTTTCCAATATCTGACAACAATGCAGCAGCGACCATCGATAACTAATTTGCAAAAATTGAAGTGAGCAATCAGTTGCTAATCGGTTGTAGGCCAGTTGCCGGTCAGTTGCCGGCTACGCCCTATGTCTGGTTATATACACAGTCTGATTATCTTCCTAAATAAACGCTCTAACTTACACATACACGCGCAACTTCCCATACTCACGCCTTGACTAAATTCCCAGATAAATGATATTGATAATAATATACATTAATAAATCGCAGATACTATGCAAATCCATTTTACTGCGCTGCAAGAGCTCCTGATATGCTTGATATCTTCAATATAAAGTTAATTGAAAATATATGCTTTTAGTTTTGATTTAAGGTACTTAACGATTGTGATTTCCTAATCGTTAACGGTAATCTATTCCACAGTTTGGGACCTGAGCATCCAAATGCACGATCTCATAATATTATCTTTTTGTTGGCTGCGCGGGTTACGAGTATGTTTGTGAGACTCAAGTTTTAAAGGTCCCATTTGCAGGCTAAACAAAATGAAAAGGTTAAATTCCAACGGCATTTGAACGATAATACTAATTTAGAAATTTCACAGATGGGACATATATGACATATTCATAATTTCTGCAAAGTTCTACAGAATTTGATGTTGGCTGCAACAGTTCTACAATAAAACTAGGGGCTTGACCGATTAGCACTTTACAGACGATCAACAGAATCTTGAATGATATTCTTTGGCGTACTGGTAGCCAGTGCATATCTTTCAAAAGAGGGGTTATCCGTGGTAATTTAGAATAACGGCAGATAAGTCTTGCACACGTGTTTTGGACCCGCTGTATATGTAAAAAATAATGTGTTCATTGGTAATTTTTACGTATTTTTTCCATGTAGAATTTACTTGTAAACATTAGTTTTGCCACTTACGCACTAAATTTAAGTCTTGCTAACTCAAACTTTCCATTTTAGTAGAACATACGTGGAATATTTAAGTAAAATCAAATACATAAGAACTTTAAGTAGTTTCAGCTTGTATTAATTTAGTAATTTTAACTCAAAATCAGAAATTATACGTATTACTCAAACAATTTATGTTGATTATTCTTATCTTTTTAAAGTAAGGACCGATGCAGTGCGTAATAGAAATATTTACATAATTTATGAATATTCATTAAGACAAAATTAAACTCTTTTTTAAATAAAACAATTCTTTTTTGTGGTTGAATGAAAATTTAAGGACTTTAAAACATTTACTAATTCATTTAACATGGCTAAGCAAAGACAAGACAATTTTTAATTGTTACCCAGTTCAAAACAAATCAAAACTTGATATTTCAGGAAATTGTCAACCAATTTTCCTTTTAAGATGCTACGATCAAGTATATATAAAATTTGGAGCCTTTCAATATGTGTCGAATTGAAGCGTATGTTATAGTTTGTGATGGTGGTAGATATATATATACGGTTAAATCTTAAATAAAAGTAGTGTTAGTGATTAGTGATTAATCTTAAATAGAAGTAGTGAATGATTAGTGGATGTTACTTTTTAGATTAGATGGGTACCAAATCGTGCAATATGTAATCCTATCATAGCTTTTTTTTAATTATCTAAAATGATTACAATACTTAAATTATTTACGTTAATGTAACTCGATTTAACTGAGTAATTATTTATTTAGCAAAATAAGTAAATTCTACTTAAGATGCCGTAGGTAATATTTACTTAATAAAAATAAGGCAATTCTTTTCCTCAATTTTATTGAGTTATTTCGACTATTATTTTTTTACAGTGTAGGTAGTCGCCCTATTTCGGAGTCAGGTACTCCATACAGCACCCTATACATTAATATAACTTACTAGTGATGCAAGCATGAACAATTACCTTTTTAATATTTTCTACACGCCCTGACTAAATTTCTACCTAAATGCCCCGACAAACCTCCCACATAAAAATCCTGGCCAACATACCTTTTTACACGCCCTGACTTTACTGTCTTACATGACTGTAAATGTATATTGCCTATGTGCAGGTACATGTAAAGCCTATTGTGCAGGTATGATTTTAATTATAAAGAGAATAAGTTATTGTGGTTCCATTTGTGCCAATGTATTAAAGCAGACTGGTACCTGCACATAATGCGCGCCCTGACTAACCTCCGAAATATAAAGATGGATCTCCGATAATCGATGCCTTCTATGTTAGGGTGGTTGTCCATGAACATCTTGATACTGTCTAGCAAACTTGAAGGCATGTCCTCTATCTCATCAAATATAAAGACGGGTAATATAGGACAAGAAGAAACCTTGGAAGTCACCAACTTAACCAGTTCTCTCTGCGAAGAGCAAAGAGAAAAAATATACATGTAATTATGTAGATTGGTGTTCATATAATTACAGAAGTTTACGATCGGATTCATATTAGGATATTATACAGGATGTAATCAAGTTTCATGAAGTTGCTAACTTTAAGGTTTTAATGAGGGTGCATCCTCGCCTTCCCTTCCTCCCCCCTCTCTCTCTCTCTCGTTCACTCACTCTCCCTCTTCCCCTCTCTTTGTTCCCTCTTTCTTCATAGCCAATTCTAGAATGATCTTAACTTCTCCATTTCTTAGATGTTACAAGTTTTTTGTTAAATTATAGCCTTTAAACTGTAACACTCGCTAAAAATTGACTAATTAAGTCAAGACATGGATACACTTTGGCCTTTAAACAGATAATTCAAATCCTTTTGTTATGGTACCTTGTAATCCTCAATTAGCTCCTTATGAGGGTAGTCCTTGGTTGATATCTTGACAGTCACAAAGCTGCTTCCCATTCCACGTGTGAAAATACTTTCAACTAGGAGGTGACTGATGTGGTTCTTACCGGTTCCAGCCGATCCATGCAGGGATAAGACTAGAGGCTTCCCTGGATCTGCATCGAATAGTTTGGCCATATGACCCATAATGGCAGCAGAGATAGTCTTGTGGGCTAAATGCTGACCAAACAGTTTGTCATCTAAAGCCTTATCGAATTCTGTAAAAACAGTTAACAAATGGTTTATGCAAAATATAGAATGGTTTTATACTAAATAATTATGAATGGAAATGAGAGAGAGAGAGAGAGTCTAGCTGTCATTTTAAATGAATAAAGATGCCTGTGACTTTGTATATAAAATATAAAAATCTTAGAGAGCATCATATTGGCCAGAAAGCTATCGCGTGACGCTCAACATTTTATTTTTTATATCCTACATAAAAGAATTCCCGTGCAGGGATCGGTCATGGATAGCTACACGTGATGTAAATTTTTTTCACCATGACAAAAAATGGATAATTATAATGTAACGTCAAACGAGGTATATTGTACAAAATTATATCCCGTTTTATGTAACGCACCTCGCACAAAGATACGCGCACTGCGACGTGTATTGGTCTACGATGCGCTAATCTGACTGAGCAATGATCATAAATAAATTGAGAAATTTTCTTGTATTTCATGTCATTATCATTTTGGTTAAAATTGGTGATTTGATGTTATTTTTCAGCTTTACCGTTTCTAAAGCACTGCGGTCGCAACCGCCTGGACTGGCTCCGTGAATTTTACTCGACCTGCCTCACTGGGCTGCATATCAAGAAGATCTGGAGGAAATCTACCGTTGTTGCCCTTCTAAAACCCAACAAGCCTGCAGATAATCCTAAGAGCTACAGGCCAATGTCACTCCTGTGCGTGCCATTCAAGCTTCTCTAAAGGCTTCTTTTGGCCCGACTCAACCCAGTGGTTGATCTCCAACTTCTGGATGAGCATGCCGGCTTCCGTCATGGTCGGTGTACTGTCCACCAGATTGTCAAGCTGACTAATGATATAGAAAAGAGCTTTGAAATAGGCAACAAGACAGGGGCTGTTCTAGTGGACCTCATTGCGGCTTATGACACAGTGTGGCATCATGGCTTGATACTAAAGCTTCTCCGTACCATCCCTGACCGTCACCTAGTGCGGTTTCTTGCAGCAATCCTTGCGAACCGCAGTTTCATAACCAAGACTAACGATGGACAAACTAGCCGACTGCTCCGCCTACGGAATGGGGTGCCTCAGGGCTCGGTTCTGTCTCCCATGCTATTCAATATCTACATAAGTACCTACCTTGCTCAGCTTCACGACAGTATGGCTATGCAGATGATCTGGCATTGCTGTGTACAGATAGGAACTGGAGCAAAGTAGAGAATGTGCTCACTGCAGACTCCCTCAAGATGTGGAGACTCAAGCTGAGCGTTGCCAAAACTACTGCAACTGCCTTTCACCACAACATCAAAGAAGAAATTCGACAGCTGACGGTTTTTCCATAATGGGACACACACCCCAACCAAACAACCCTCACCCAACATATCTTGGAGCGAAACTGGACAGACAGCTGTCTTTATTTTTTTATTTTTTTATTCCGTTTTATTTAAAACAGGGTAGCCCCGTCAGTAATCACAGTACTGTTTTCCAGGGGGCCCTGTACACAAATGCAACATATATGAATAAACAAACTACTTGAACAATATAAACATCATGGAAAACATCGATACATAGTAAGATATAACAGAAAATGAGTAAAGAATATGAGTGAATAATGAAACAAAGCCGTAGTAAGAATGATAAATTTCAATGAGCAATTTCAAATCGTTAACAATATACTCTGATTATTATTAATGATCTGTTTAGATTTTAACAAATTATTATATTAAGAAATTTATGTAAATATTCATGAAAGAAATAAATAAAGAAAGGCAAATTTATCCTTAACATCGCTGCTTAAAATAGAGAGAACAAAAAGTATTCTTGTCGGGGCATTTCGAACTGAGTGGGGTAGGCTATTCCACTGAAGAGCACCATCAACTGAGAAGGCACGTTTTCCACATTCTGTTTTAATTCTTGGAATAATAACGCCCAAATTGTCAGCATTCCTTGTTGAGTATCTATGAGTATGGGCGGACAGGGTGAACATATCATATAAATATGATGGGGCACTATTATTCATAACATCATACATTAATTTACTTTTATTGAACTCCCATCTTTTTTCCATGTCAATCCATCTTAGGGTACTAAACATTTCGGATGTGGGAATCAAAGTATTTATTTATAGGACAATTCTTGCCATCTGCTTGTGTTGCTTAATCAAGATATCTTTTGTTCTTTTATTACAAGTACTCCATGAGACACTACAATAGTCATAGTAAGGAAGGATAAGAGAATTGGCAAGTAGTTTGGCACTATCAATTGTGAGATATTTCCTGACTCTACGAAGTAGGGCCAACCTAAAGGCAATTTTATTTGAAGTATATTTCGCATGATCCTGCCACGTCATGTGCTGGTCTAGACAAACTCCCAGATATCTTACACTTTGAACTTGCTTGATTGGTACATTAGCAACTTTTATTGCGATTGGTGTGTATTGCAAGTTCAGCAATTTCTGCGGTGTTCCAAAAATCATGAAGCTTGTCTCGTCCGTATTCAGGGTAAGTTGGTTTCTTTCTAACCACTTTCTCACACAATCCAAATCATGATTCAGACATGTTTCGATTTCCCTTGGATTTGAAGAACTGTACATAAGGGCAGTGTCATCTGCATACATAATCACTTTACCGTGCTCGATGACTGATGGAAGATCGTTCATGAAAGGAGTGAAAAGGAGGGGCCCCAATATGGATCCCTGGGGGACTCCAGACTTTAACTTTAGCACGTCAGATTTTTTACCTAGCAAGGATGTACATTGTGCCCGGTGTACAAGATATGATTCGAACCATGATAATGCTTGTCCCGTATATGCCATACAGTTTTAACTTATCTAGTAATAATCTATGATTAACATAGTCGAATGCCTTTCGTATGTCAAGAAAGAAAGAAAGGGGGCCCTGTACACAAATGCAACATATATGAATAAACAAACTACTTGAACAATATAAACATCATGGAAAACATCGATACATAGTAAGATATAACAGAAAATGAGTAAAGAATATGAGTGAATAATGAAACAAAGCCGTAGTAAGAATGATAAATTTCAATGAGCAATTTCAAATCGTTAACAATATACTCTGATTATTATTAATGATCTGTTTAGATTTTAACAAATTATTATATTAAGAAATTTATGTAAATATTCATGAAAGAAATAAATAAAGAAAGGCAAATTTATCCTTAACATCGCTGCTTAAAATAGAGAGAACAAAAAGTATTCTTGTCGGGGCATTTCGAACTGAGTGGGGTAGGCTATTCCACTGAAGAGCACCATCAACTGAGAAGGCACGTTTTCCACATTCTGTTTTAATTCTTGGAATAATAACGCCCAAATTGTCAGCATTCCTTGTTGAGTATCTATGAGTATGGGCGGACAGGGTGAACATATCATATAAATATGATGGGGCACTATTATTCATAACATCATACATTAATTTACTTTTATTGAACTCCCATCTTTTTTCCATGTCAATCCATCTTAGGGTACTAAACATTTCGGATGTGGGAATCAAAGTATTTATTTATAGGACAATTCTTGCCATCTGCTTGTGTTGCTTAATCAAGATATCTTTTGTTCTTTTATTACAAGTACTCCATGAGACACTACAATAGTCATAGTAAGGAAGGATAAGAGAATTGGCAAGTAGTTTGGCACTATCAATTGTGAGATATTTCCTGACTCTACGAAGTAGGGCCAACCTAAAGGCAATTTTATTTGAAGTATATTTCGCATGATCCTGCCACGTCATGTGCTGGTCTAGACAAACTCCCAGATATCTTACACTTTGAACTTGCTTGATTGGTACATTAGCAACTTTTATTGCGATTGGTGTGTATTGCAAGTTCAGCAATTTCTGCGGTGTTCCAAAAATCATGAAGCTTGTCTCGTCCGTATTCAGGGTAAGTTGGTTTCTTTCTAACCACTTTCTCACACAATCCAAATCATGATTCAGACATGTTTCGATTTCCCTTGGATTTGAAGAACTGTACATAAGGGCAGTGTCATCTGCATACATAATCACTTTACCGTGCTCGATGACTGATGGAAGATCGTTCATGAAAGGAGTGAAAAGGAGGGGCCCCAATATGGATCCCTGGGGGACTCCAGACTTTAACTTTAGCACGTCAGATTTTTTACCTAGCAAGGATGTACATTGTGCCCGGTGTACAAGATATGATTCGAACCATGATAATGCTTGTCCCGTATATGCCATACAGTTTTAACTTATCTAGTAATAATCTATGATTAACATAGTCGAATGCCTTTCGTATGTCAAGAAAGACTATCCCAGTTATTCTACCTTTATCCATGTTAGTCAACAAATAATTGTTCAGCAC